GGGGTTGGCTTGGTAAGTAGGGAGCTGAATCCTTTTTCTCAGAAACAAGTGCTTTACTGGCCTGGGGCATATCTTCTTCTACTGTCACATTTCTAGGAGCAGGTTCAAGAAAACTCCTCCTTAAAGGATGGAGACTGAGGCAGTGAGTATAGAAGAGGAGTATGCTTGAAAGAAGGAACTGGCAAAGAGTGGCAACCACTCACAGTTGGAAGAGAGTAGAGAGAGATAATAAACATTTCTGCATCACCAATGGAAAAGGACAGAAGACATTTCAATGGTTAGTGTTAAATGGAAGGCAAGAGAAAGTCAAGTGTTGGAGTCTGTAGGAAGATTCTCAATAGCCCACAGTGTCGATTTTGACTAGTAACCAAAACTATGATTTCCATGACCAAAACATCCTACCCTGGCCACCAAGGAGTCATCCTCTCCCATCACCTCCTCCACAACCTTTTCACCAAAGGTTTCATTGCCCATACCAAAGACCATGCCCTTCTGCTTGGGGCTTGTTCTAATTGTTGATTGCCTCTCCCAAACCACAACTTCAGGAAAGTTGCAGTCACTCTTCTCTTACTCAGGCCCTATCCTTCACTCTTCAATTTGGGAACCATGAACCATGATCAAATCAACTCTGCTGTATGACCCCCATTCACTACTTGATAACTTTAAGAACCAAAAGACCCCTACTTGGCCACTGCCTCCTTGGATGCATGTTGTCTCTCCCACTAGAATGTAAACTCCTCATCACTACTATTAACATAGTACTAGAAATGCTAACTAGAGCAATGAAGACAAGAAAAAGAAATTGAAGGAATAAGACTAAGCAGGACTGCTTCCAGCCTAGCCCCCATAGCCATAATTAAGGAGAGAAATAACTGTGAAGAAGAGAAGACCTTCTTCATTGTGGATACCTTCCTCATCACCACAGCAACAACTGTTGAGCACGTAAATACGAGAGCCCTGGAAGTGACAGCATGTCATTGAATACCTGTCTCTCTTCTAGCCCAGTTTCCATAGCCATCACATGTTCATGGGAAAAGAGAAAACAAATTTATCACTTTTTGCAGATGTACTTAGAGAACCCCAATGAGTCAACTAAAAATTAACTGAAATAGTTAATAATGTCATCAAAGTTGTAGGATATATGATAAATCCACATAAATCAGCATTCTTATAAGTAACCAACAAAAACCACCAAGATATAGAATGAGAAATTCCATTAAAAATAACTACAGAAAATATAAGCTCCTTGGGAAATTATCTTCTAAGATTCACATAGGAATAATATGAATCTAACTCTAAAATACTCTTTGCAGAAATAAAGACAGACTTAAATAATTAGAGAAACATAAATTACTCCTGGGGAGGTTGAGTCAATATAATAAAAATGACAATATTACCTAAATTAATTTATCAATGCTGTATTAATCTCCCAAAAGAATATTCTAATGAATGAATGAAAAAGTAGTTATTAAGGGCTTACTAAGTACAAAGCAATGTGCTACTGCAGAGGATACAAATAGAAAAGTAAGACAATCCCTGTTAGCAAGGAGCTCACATTCTAACAGGGGAAACAATACACATGGAACGTTTCAGTTGCAGGTCAGCTGGAAAGGTCCTATGGTCCTTAGAGTGCAGTGGTATACCAGGTAGTAATTCCTCTTCTTTAATGTTATTTCCACTAATAAAATCTTATCTGTTTCTGACTCTAAGTTATATGACAATTCCAAGGACTTCGGTGGCAAGAATTTTCCCTTCTGGGTCTTCAATAGCTGTGGTTGCAGGAGCAATTGCCAGGCTGCAGTTCACCACCTTACTTCCTAGGATGATGGCTATGGGCACAAGGCTGGAAGTCTTTATTATGGTAATAGCAGGAAAGGCTCTTGGGTTCAGATTCTGGGCCACCTCTATTCAAGTATGAGGGGACAAGGTGGTAAAGAAGGTGGAGGTTGTTCAATTTGTCTGGCACGTTGCCTCCTGTCTCTTTCTCTGGGTACCTTGATGCTTCAGCTAGGCTGGCTAGTCTGATCTGTGGGTGGCAGCTGGTGGGTATGGTTGGCCTCTTCTCCACAAGAGTGGCTTCCTCAGACCACTGCTGTGGGGGTAAAGAGCTCAGAATGCTCTACCACGGGTCAGGCACAAATATGAACGTTTGGGGTAGATTCTCTAAATTTGTTCATCTCACGTTTCTTTTGGATTACTTCAATTCTGCTTTGCTTATAGAGCACAACATCTTCTCTGGGAGGGCATGTCATGCTGGTTGGTCCTGTGCCACTGTCTCCCATGTCATACAATCAAATCCAAAGTTCTTAAAAGAGACCTTGAGAGTATCCTTGTATTGTCTTTTCTGACCACCACATGAGTGCTTGCTCCACAAAATAGTCAAGTTTAGGGGTACTGCTATTCCCAGGGCTCTTGGGCCAGGAGTCCTAGGTTATCTCCATATAAGTATAAGGGGACATTATAGGCAAGGTTGTGGCGGTGTTTTGGCTTGCTTCCTCCTCCTGGGGATACCTTGTTGCTTTAGAGCTAGAGAAAATAATAACAAAATTCTTAAGAAGGAAAAAAGGTAAAAAATCCTAAGGATAATGTTAAAAACAAGTGGGAAGGAAAGGGGGGGGAGAGAGAGAGAGAGAGAGAGAGAGAGAGAGAGAGAGAGAGAGAGAGAGAGAGAGAGAGAGAGAGGAATAGATTAGGTATACAACATACTGAAGCAAACAAACATAGAAGCTCAGTGTCTGATGAATTCAAAGACCCCAGTTACTGGTGAAGAACTCATTATTTATCAAAAACTGCTGGGAAAACTGGACAACAGTTTGACAGAAATTAGGTTCAGATAACATTTCACACCATAAATCAAGATAAGCTCCAAATGGATACATGACATAGATATTAAAAGTCACATCATAAACAAATAAGAGGAGCTAAGAAGAGATTACCTTTCAGATCCGTGGATGGATAGTTCGTGACTAAACAAGTGACAGAGATGATCAAGTGAGATAAAATGGATAATCTTTTATATAAAATTAGAACATTTTTACACAAACAAATTTAACAGTAAATATTAGAGGGAAAACAGGTAACTGGGAAAACAATCTTTGCAACAAGTTTCCCAGACATATATGGAACTGATTCAAATTTATGACCAAGAGCCATTTCCTAAAGATAAATGGTCAAAGGATATGAATATGCAGATTTCAAAGGAAGAAATCCAAGCTATCAACAACCACACAAAAATATTTTAAATTACTAATTTTTAGAAAAGATGAAAATTAAAGCAATGTCGAGGTTCAACCTCACATCTAATCAGACTGACAAAGATTGCAAAAAAAGGGGAAATTATAAATGTCTGAAAAGGTTTCAAGGAAAACATCACACTAATGTAGGACTGGTGGAGGTTCAAATTAATCCAGTATTCTGAAAAGTAATTAGGAATTCTGCCCAGAAAGCTATCAAACTGTGCATACCTTTTGACCCAACTATATAACTACTAGACTACCCAAAGGAAATCAAATAAAAGAAAAAGGATCTATATGTACAAATATATTTATAGTAGTTCTATTATAGAAGACAAAAATTGGAAGGAGGAGGTCTTCCTATTGAGGAATGGCTAGACAAATTAGGGTATATGAATGTATAGAATATTATTGTGCCAAAAAAATTGTGAAATGGACAGTTTCAGAGTAAATTGGGAAGACCTCTCTAAACTGATGAAGAGTGAAATGAGCAGAACCAGAGAACAATATTGCTAACACCATTAAGGGAAAACAACATTGAAAAACTTTAGAACTCTCATCACCACAATAATAAACCATCAGCCTAAAAGAATGAAGAAAAACAAGAGGGATGATAAACTTAAAATGGCATTAAAGAGACATACATCTAAAGACATGATTAATGAGAGAAATTTGTTTTGCCAGATTATGTAGATACATATTGAGCAATTTGTTTTTTGGTCCCACTGTATGTTTTTTTAAGTTGTCCAAGGCGAGAGAGTAGCGGGAAGGAAAGGTTAATAAAACAACAACAACAAAGGCTGTTTTTGAAAAATAAAAAAGCAATCTTAAAAAGAATGAAAGTTCCTCGAGATCTGGGACTGTTTTCATTTTTCGTATTTGCTCAGCTACCGTTTAGCATTTTTAGCAAGGTAAATAGCGTATTTTCATTCATTCATTCATTCATTCATTCATTCATTCATTCATTCATTCCGTAATGTGGTCACCTATTAGAATGCAAATTCCTTAAAGGCGGGGAGTCGTCTTTTGCTTTCGCATTCCCAGCGCTTAACTGTGCCAGGCACTTGGTGAAAACTTAATATTCATTCATTCGGCAGTTATTAAACCCATGAACTAGACCCGGTGCTAGTAGTTGGGGATGTGTGTAGAGAGCGCAGTTCCTAGGCCTTTGGGAACTTAGTAGGAAGGTGACAGAGTAACAAGGACATGTAAATGAGTCGGAGTGACCAGAGTATAAAGAGAGAAGGATCGGGAGAAGGAACGTGGGTAATTGGCCTCGAGAAGGACTCAGCCTCGCCAAAGGAAGATTCTATGAAGGGGGGAACCATAGAGCTGCAGTCATTTATAGAGACCAGGATAAATTCTAAAAGGACAATGGGAGTGATGGGGGAAGGTCATGCACACTTGTTTCTATGGAGAATCTACCAGGGGTGGAGAACCTGCAGCCTCGAGGTCACACGTGGCCCTCTAGGTCCTCAAGTGCAGCCCTTTGACTGAATCCAAACTTCACAGAACAAATCCCCTAAATAAAAGGATTTGTTCTGTAAAAGTTGGACTCAGTTAAAAGGCCGCACCCAAGGCCCTAGAAGGATACACATGGCCTCGAGGCCGTAGGTTCCCCAACTCTGCAAATTAGGCCAGGATTCTGAGCTAAGGATGGCGTTTGCTACAGACTGCTGGAGGGCCCCTTTAAATTGAATATCTAGCACAGTATTGCTGCTTCTCGCGAGATTTCTTGGGTAGTTTAGCCAACCGTAATGAAGAAAAAGAAAAAAAAATCCATAGTTGCCCTGGGCAACCGAGAGGCTGCAGAGAGGTGCGGAAAGAATTGTCGATCTATAGGGTTCTCGGAAAGAATGGGGCGGATCTCTGGGCTGGTGCCCTCTCGTTTTCTAACGTTGCTAGCTCATCTGGTAATCGTCATCACCATCTTCTGGACGCGGGTAAAATAACTCCCTTCACTTTCTTGGGGTCATCCCGCCCCTTTTCTGTGGCCCGGGGTTTAAGCGTGTGGCAGAAGTCGCGCGCGCCAATGATCCGCCTGAGCTACCGCTGTCCCCTGGCCTGCGTCTGCGCCTGCTCTTCCTTTACGTACCGTAGCTTCTCTTGGCGCTTGCAACCCTTAGCCACTTCTCTACGGAAAGGCGCCCCCCCCCACCCCTTTAACGTGTTACTTTTTCTGCCCTCCCCAAGCGCAGTCCGGAAAGGGCCGCCCGTCAGAGGCAGAGCTGGGTGCATCCCAAACGGCTCCTATGTAGGAAATCTGGCTTTGGGGTTTAGGATTCCTGGTCCGTGGACCTCGGTTTCCTCTCCAGCAAAAGGAAGCGCTGGCTTGTTTAATGAACTAGTGGTCTCTCAAGGCCCCCTCTCTAGTTTCAACACTCTGTAGCTGAATGGGAGGGAGGGGAAGGGACAGACCCTAGTTGCCCTGCAACTATCATTACTCTTCTACCTTGGCTTAAAAACCCTGTTTTACTCCTGCTCTTCTCTACTCCTCTTCCCTAGGACAACAACATCCAGGCCAGTCTGCCTCCCCATTTCACCTCCGAGGATTATGAGAAGGAGGACTCTAAGTGAGCCGATCAGGGGTTGGGCGGGCGAGTGTGGGAGGCCTCCCCCTCCCCCACTTTGGGGGTGGGGTGGGAGAGTCAAACCATTCTGGAAAAAGAGCCTGGAGGAGGAAGAGGGCCCCTGATTGGGAAGGGTAGACTCCAGGATCCCTCTATCCCTACATAGGCTGGTCACTGCTCTCTCCATTACACTGGGCCTTTTCCTGGTAGAACTAGCAGGTTTCTTTTCAGGCGTGTCCATGTTCAACAACACCCAGAGCCTCTTCTGTATCCTTTCGGCCTACTCTTTCCCCCGGTGGCCAGTGGCGTGGCTCCGTAGATTGAAGGGTGCTGGGCCTGGGTGGGTGAGGGGCGAGGGGGTATCTCTGAAGTTTAACTTGAGCTTGGCACAAGATGGAGCCCCTTCTAACATGGCGGTGACATAAGGAGGGGGTCGGGAAGGAGAAAGGAAGGAGAACTGAACCTCTCTGCTCTCTAACCTGACTTAATTTGCTGGCAGAGTAAACGCAGGTTCCCTTCGCTCCCCGGCCCAAGGACCAGGTCCTGCCTGGGTACCGCCCACCTCTCCCAAGCCTGGTGGGAAATGTAGTTCCAGTGTTTCTTTTCCCTGACTCCGCCGAAGCGATCGGGGTGCATTGTTGCGCAGCGGTGTCTTTGGCCTTCTTCATCTTCGAGAGTTGGGAGAGCTCCACCTACTGGTGCATCTTCGCTTTCTGCAGGTGCGGCTCGAAGGGGCACCTACCCTAGGCTTCCGAGAGGCTGCCCCCGAGGAGGCTACGGTTTAAGGGCTGATCCTGAGTAGGGTGTGGGTGCTGGGAGTGGGCTATCTTTGTCACAAGGAAGTCCTTATCAAGCCTCCTTCCTCTCACAGTGTCCTCCCAGCTTTAACTGAAGTAATGATGTTCATCGCTGTCTTCGTGTTAAAGAAAAAATCTTTCTGACCCTCTTTCCACAAACGTGGGGCGGAAGACGGAGAAGGCTTTGCAGTCTTTCAGTCCTTGGGGGAAAACATGGGAAGACTCTACCCTCGATGGGGTTTGGGGGACTATTGGCAGTGTTCTTATCCCTCCAAGTTTTGGCACAATGATATTGTATATAGTACTTTATAATAAAACCCAACTTTTGTACCATAATTAAGCTGGTGAAACCTAGCACGGGGACGTTCAGTGTTGGCCATACACAGGGGAAGAGGAGAGTGGGCTGCCCTGGAAAGGGAGCCTGGCGTTTTCCCATCCACTCCAGGACCTTAAAAGTTACTGGTGCGTCTTCTTTTTAGATGATTACGGTCCAAATCCCAGGAAGGGGAGGGGCCGATTTATTCAAGTGACAACGTGCGTCATTCCGGGGACAACGCTCAAAGCAGGATCAGGAGGCTTCTCACCCTTTGGAACTCTGAGTGAAGAAGCTGAGACTGGCTCCTTTAGATTCTATTTGGGATGAAAATGGATAGAACAGCCCCTCTGTTTATGGGCTTGGGGAAAGAAAGTGCAGAGTATTACCACTGGATAAATCAGAGTTAGAATGTCCTACATTTGGCTCCCAGAAAAATATTCTTTATTGTTAGTAAGGCATGCCCTGAATGGATGTGACTTCTTCCCATCTGTAAAATGGGCAATACTTACTACTACCCAAGTTATGTGTCAAGGTGGAGAAACCGGGGACCCTTGAACACGTACTAGTTGTGTGACCTTGGAAAAGTCATTTAACATTTTTTAAGCCTTAGTCTCCTCATCTGTGTGTAAAATGGAGTTATTGTGAGGAAATGGGTAAATGGTATCCCCTCTCCACCAGGGAGTGGAGTCGAATTCATTTTTATGGTATACCCCAAATCTTCATTCTTTCCAACAGGATTGGGGTGAGGCATGCCACTCTAGAAGGTGACACTCCCCTAGGAAAGATTAATGGTGGCTGAAGGAAAGATAGGAGGGAGCTTGGCACCTTGAATTATGAGATATGATTACAAGAAACATCAGAGTCAGAGTCTGAATTTGTGTTCCAGTTCTGTTCTTTGTTATCTTCTGGATTTGGGGTATATCATGTTATTACTCCACTAGTGGTTTCCTCATTTCAGAAGGAAGGCGTTGGCCTAGATAAACTCTAAGATTACTTCCAGTTTTAAATTTGTGGATCTTAGGTTTGAAGTAAAAATAAATATGGAGAAAGTTAAAGCATGGCACTATTCTATCCCTGAATGTGACAAATATCTTTTAAAATAAAGGCAAAAAGAGGTTGGGAACCATGGCTTTTGGACTTTTCTTGCTAAAATTTTTTTAACCTCTTTTCTACAAGGAATAGTCAGTCATTCCTTATATTCCTGTCTAAAAACAGAGCAGGGAAGAATACGTTGGGCAATATAGGTAATGTAAAAGCAGTAACAATAAAAACTTGCTAATGAAGACAATAAATAACAAGCATTAGATGTCAACTATGCTAGAGTAGGAATCTTGATAAAAATGCTAAAATTGATATAGCAGTCCTTCCTAAATTGTTTCTGTACTCTTAATATCTTGTGTCTATGTAACACTTCTCTGAACACATTATTCATTTGCTTCTCAAGACAACCTTGTGAAATAGATGTTATTATTAGCCCCTGTTTCAGAAATGAGAGCTTAAGTGGTTCAGAGTCTTTCAGCTAGCAGATATCTGAGGCAAGACTGGAACTTAGATCTTTCTGCCTCTAAGTCCAAAACTATTTACTACCCTGAAAGACCTTTCTAAGCTACTTCACCCCCCAAAATTATTTTTGATAATGCCTCAGATAGCCATCTGATTTCCACTCACCCTCCAAGGTATAATAAGCATTGTAGTAGAAGAATACTAGACTTGGGAGTCAGGAATCAGGTAAGAAATTCAGCCATTTATGTTTTCCAGTCAAGTCTACTAAGTATCAAATACTTTATTCGAGGTCCTGGGCCAATCCTGGGTGTACAAAGAAAGACAAAAACTCTCAAGGAGTTCACAGTCTAATGGGAGATAAACAGGAACAATTATAAACAATTAAGAACATACAGAGTACATAGAAAGCTACCTAAGAGCCCTTGACCCATCCTAGGTAATAATTTAAAACGGTGAGGTACTCTCTTGATCCAGAGAATCCCATGAAATCATGCAAGTCAAGGGGTTCAAATCTCTAGGTCCACTTCAAGAACACCTGTGAAACAGCCCAAGCTATCAAGGGCATGCATATATGAAAAGCTACCAAGTATTTGAAAGATGTCATATTGAAGAAACAATGTGTTCCCTTCAGGTGATGTAATAGTGGAGTTGGCAGATGGGCCCAAGCTAAGCAGTGGGGTTGGACACAGGGGCGTTGGCCCAAAAAGAATGCTGAATTCTTGCTGCATATGCTTAAAAATGCAGAGAGTAATGCAGAACTGAAGGGTTTGGATGTGGATTCCCTTGTCATTGAGCATATCCAGGTTAACAAGGCTCCCAAAATGCAGCGGTGTCTTAACAGGGCTCATGGTCAGATCAACCCATACGTGAGTTCTCCTTGCCATATTGAGATGATACATACTGAAAAGGAACAAATTGTTCCTAAACCAGAAGAGGAGGTTACTCAAAAGAAAAAGATATCCCAGAAGAAACAAAAGATTATGGCATGGGAGTAAATACAACATTAGAGTGCAAATAAAAGTTAAATGAAAAAAAAAAGCTACCTAAAAGAAGAAAATATATTTATTTAAACGTGTGCCTTATTCTTGCCCTAAGATAATGTGGACTTCATTGGATTTCAGCAAAAGATCGGGAGGAAAGTGCTGGCTCTGCCACTCACTACCTGTGTCCTTGTGCAAATGACAACCTCTCTGGGCATTAGTTTCTTCATCTGTAAAAAGGAGTTGGATTAAATGGTTTCTAAGGTGATTCCAATTCTCGTATCCCATGATCTTATAACTGTGTCTTAAGTTTCATCTGTTTATCCCTCAGGAACTAACATAGCACCTTTGCACATCATAGGCACTTAGTAAACACTGTTCAATTTAACTGAAAAAAGGGCAGTAATGTTTCTAGCTTAGGTAGTAGGACAGTTGCTTATATCATTGACAGAAATAGGGAAGTCATGAAGATTATCTCATTTGATAGGAAGATGCTAGATTTTTATCCAGGTAGCTATGTCCCACAGATAGTTGGGAATATCAAACTGGAGATCAGGAGAAAGGGCGGAGATATAAAAATAGATTTAGGAGTCATGAATATATACAAACTGGTGATTTTAGCCCAAGAGAAGAAAGATCTTGTGGGTGAGAGCTAAAAATGGGCTACCTCAGAAAGTATCCCATCAACTAAGGATGTTCCACTGAGGCTAGATGACCTCTTGCCAGAAATGTTGTAGACAGAGTTCATGTAACCAGGTAAGACAAGGATCTGTGAGCCCTTCCAACTCTCAGATCCAGGATGACAGATCCAAATTTGAATATAACTGTATTTCACAAAGCTAAACTATATTGTGATAGGAATTCATTTTTACCAATATACCTAGCATATAGATAGCACTGAGACTATAGTATTATTAATAAATTATCAACTGTTGATATTAACAACTCACTTTATCTAGTGTTTTAAGGGCCTTATTTATACATTCACGACAGTAGCACACTGACATTACATTCTCTGTATAGTGCATAGCACTATACCATGCACGATTAGGAGTAACATGTGCTTCTTGGTGATGACACGACAGAAAGAAGAAGGTGAAGCCTAAGACACTTATCTACTACACCATTGTGGGAAGAGCCTTGCTGATAATCAGAAAATTGAATTTTAACCCTGGGGCAGCAATTTTTGTCTTATGCAGGCAGCTAGGTAGCATCTTAGATAGAGTATTAGACTTGAAGTTAGGAAGATGAGTTTGAATCCTGCCTCAGGCACACACTAGCTATGTGACCTTGTGCAAGTCACTTGACCTCTCTCATTCTCAGTTTCCTCATCAGTAAAATGTGGTTAATAATAGTACCTACCTTTCAGATTTGTTGTGAAAATCTAATTAGCTAACATATAAGCAAACCTTAATACATTATATGTATGCTAGCTGCTGGGCAGGTAGGTGGCACAGTAGATGAGAAACTAAGGCCAAGAGAAGTTCCAGTTGGCAATGCAACTTCTTCCCTCCTTCCTTCTTCCTCCTCTCTTTTCCTCCCCTCCCCTTACCACTTGCAGTAAATGTAAATAGCAATTGTTTCTGTTTCAGACAGAAACCCTGAGTATCTTCCTTTCTCAGATTGATTTTTTTTTTAAAACTAGGTAGAAGGGGCCATTCTCTGTCTCATTTTTTACCTAGCCTTAATCACTGAATGGGTGTTGCCTCAAACTGAAACTTGTTAAAAACTTTAGCTTAAAAAGGCCAAGGTCTCCCACTCCATCCAGGGCCATCTCCAGTCATTCTGATCTATATCTTGCCACTGGATCCAGATGGCTCAAGAGGAGAAAGTGAGGCTGGTGACTTTGCACTGTCCTCCCTCACTTAAATCAAATTTACTTGCAAGTCATGGCATCACCTTCATGGTCTTCTTGGAGAACAAAGGACAAATAACAAGTGTGAAATATCCAATATTCAAGTGGTGATGTGGGTTTGCAGCTCAGGGGAGAAACTGGGAAGGGATATATAGATCTGTGAATCATTGACATACAGATAAATAAACCCACAGAAACTGATGACATTTCCAAGAGAGGGAATGCAAAGAAAGGAGTAGGGTACCTAAGACAAAGAATTGGGAACAACCCATGGTTATGTGGATACTGTGGATAGATTACCAGGCCTGGAGTCAGGAAGATCAGAGTTCAAATGTGACCTCAGACACTAACTGTGTGACCCTGGACAAGTCACTTAACCTCTGTTTGCTTCAGTTTCCTCAACTGTAAAATGGCGATCTCTCCTACCTCCCAGGGTTGTTGTGAGGATCACATGAAATAATAATTGTAAAGTGCTGAGCGCTTGGTGCAGTGCCTGGTATGTAGTGAGCTAAATGTTAGCTATAATTATTTTTATTTTGATATGATGAATCAGTAAAGGAGACTAAGCAGGATTGATTAGACTAGGGGTTCCTTACCTGGGATCCACAGACAACCCCCCCCAAATTGGTCAAAGGATAGATATAAAGCTATCTTGTTTTTTAAAAATGTTTTGATAAGTTCAATATGATTTCCTTTGTAATCTATGTATTTTATTTTGTATGCCTAAAAAACATTAATCTAAGATGGGGTGGTACATAGGCTTCATCAAACTGCCAAATGGGTCCATGACACACACACAAAAAAGTCACAAAAACCAAGAGAGGAGGGAGTATCCAGGAGGAGAGAGTGGTCAACAATATCAAATGGAGCAGATTGGTTAAGAAGGTTTGAGCACTGAAAAAAGACTGTTATATTTGACAATTAAGATATCATTGTTAACTTGTAAAGAATGGTTCCAGTCCAGTGATGAAGTTGGAAGCCAGAATGTGAAGGGTCTAGAAGTGAGCAAACAGAGAAGTAGAGACTGCTAGTGCAGTTGGATTTTTCAAGGAGTTTGCAGAGTAAAGGAGGGAAGACAAAGGATGATAGCTTGAGGGGATGGTAGAGTCCAGTGAAGATTTAAGGATGGAGAGACTTGAGTAGGTTTGAAGGAAATAGGTGCCTCCCTTACCACTCAGCAAGTAGGGAACACTGACCCTTGATTGTTAGTTCAGTCCTGCTTTGATACTTTGGCCAATAAGAAACTCAAATCCATACATTTCTTTCTCATTCTCTGCCTTCCCCTTTCTCATCTGAGTTTCTTGCAGCTTCTGTATGTTAAGAAGTCTAGGTCTATAAATCAGAAGAACTAGATCTGAATCCTGAAGCTGCCAGTTACTAGAGGTGTAATCTCAGACAAGTCATTTAACTACTCTGGGTCTATTTCCTCATCCTCAAAATGAATGAATTTCTGTAGTCACTCTGAGGTGATCTCTGAAATCCCTTTCAGCTCTAAATCCTCTTGGTGCCAATGTAGTCACAGTCACAAGGAGCAGGGATTGGGGATACACGGATGCTGAAGCCAGACTTAGGGACAAATTGGACTTTCTTTTTCTTTCTGTACCCCCCTTGAAGGGTACTTACCTCTCTCTGCAAGAGTGGGGTGGTAGTTTTTTTTTTTTTTGGATGTTAGATCTGGGAGCTGGGGTGGGTAGGGGTTGGAGTGTTGGAGTTAAATCATCTAGCACAATACAGTTGAAGGCTAGGGTTTTAAAGAATAAGCTATGTGTGGTTGGGGTCTGTTGT